ATAATTTTTAATGAGTCTGACAGGAAGCGGGCATAGCCTCAGGGCTGTATTTCTGTAGTTTTACGAAGCTGTTCTACCTCCTTATTGTACCATGGCATTATCCAACCGGTCTTACTCGTATTTGTAGTTTAAAGTGAAACACGTTTAAATTCAGATACTTTTATATAAAAAATTGAGTTTTTTTAATTTCTCATTAAATAATAAATTATTTTTCACTAGAAATTTTGAAATTTCTTCGTTAAAAAAATATTTATTTCACTTTATAAATTGTAATTTACCCTCCAGACTATCATATACACACAATGGAGCGATTGAGTTCATATTTTCTATGGGTTCTGATAAATTTCACATTTTAAATTAAAAATTGTACACAGAAGTTAACATTTTTCATATTTTTTTTTTTTTTTTGATTTGTCAATAGCAGGGCTCAGAATATCTAGAACTTCTTTAATATTTTAGCTTCTGTGTGAATAAATTGTTCAAGTATTTATTGTCATAAAAAAACAAATGATAAACAAATTATTCAAAATGGGGACAGGCTGATCATATATTGTCAAAATACCGAGAAAAATCTGAAATGCACTAAAAATCGGCTAACTGAATTCACAATGTAGTCCAAATATCGTAATAGTAAACAAAATTAGAATGGATGGAGTTAGCATTTAAACTAATTCCTAACCTGATGTAAGACGAAGAGAGGTTTCGACCTTAAATTACCTCCTACAGTAAACATTATGAGGTCATTTACAAACACAGGTCTCCAAAATAAAGTAAATTAAACTTCCTCTCCTCCAAGCATTGACAATTTTTTAGTTGTTGTTGTTGTTTTTTCAAATAATATTCAACTATACGAGAAAAAATCTTATATGGTCTGACAGTGGAAATATTTTTGAATAACAAAACAACACATTTCAAATTCATATATCCAATTTGTGAAATTATAATATATGTCAAATTTATTTCTTCTTCTCTGTTCTTTAACATTTTAACAAACACAAAATCTTCATTTCCATTTGCTAGTTGTTCTGCTTGAATTAAAACTCTGACGATGATGACCTTAAGAATTCATTTGGTTCAAATCAAAAGAGCAACCGACTAAACAAACAAAATTCCATTAACTAAAAAGTCGCAAAAAAAAAAAAAAAAACAAATAACTTTTGTCTCCCAGCTCAATGTACCCAACATACCAAAAATACAATACAGCTTGAGAACAATATTATAAAAATATAATTTTTCAACAATGCTTGAGAAACACTTATGTTCCACAAACATTTCTCAAATCTGTCCCTTGTTGACAAATTTGTTTTGATTTTTTGTGAAAATTGTCAGCAAGAAATTATTTTCTTTGGCAAAAAACAAAATCATGCAAATTTAGGACCCATTTCTGGACCGAACCCTTAAGGTATGGATGAATAATAAATCCGGGAATCTTTCACATAAATTATTCCAATCCCATTTCAGATTGGAAGCATCAAAAAAGTTGAAGGAATTCAATATGTGTGTAGTCTTAGTGGAAGAGATGCAGAAGTTCAAATAAGGGAGAAGAAAGCGTCAGGGTATCAAGGCCGCATGAAGGAGTGACTACTGGGATGTCCATCAAGAAAAAAAATGTGAAAAATGATTAAAAATTAAAAAAAAATAATATTATATACTATTACAAAAATAAGCTTATTTTAATATTATTTTTGTAAGCTTATTCTACAATTTCAAGTATAAGCTTATAAATAAGGGTTCCGTTTCGATTATTCTATACTTGTTACACAAACATTTTTCAATGTTTTCTCAAGATTTTCTCAAGCTTAAGGCTTATGTTCATAAGCTTATTGTAATATTATTCTCAAGCCATTTTGGTATGTTGGGTAGTCTACTCATGACTCAGTAGTAGTTTTGGCAAATACGAGCATTTCAATCAGAATTTAACCTGTCAGTTTTCTTTTAGTTAACACATTCACATCAGTCGGTATGTTCGCATTGAAACTTGGAAACTTTGTTGAGTTTTTGTTTTTTTTTAACAAGAAATTTCGTTTTTCATTTTCTTCTCGCACCTGAAGATATGCACAGAAGGTGTTGAGAGGAGAGGAAAATTAAAAACACGTCAAAGTGTCTTTCTCTGTATTGGATTGTAGTTTAATGAATTTTGAGAATTTTTGGAAGAGGTGTGCTTTTTGTTGAAAACGTTTCTTTGAATTATTATATAGAAGAATGTACTTCAAATTTGAGTATATTATGAATACTGAAAAGTGTGTATTGTAAATAAAAAAATAAATAAAGCAAAAAATAACACATATAGAATTTTCCTCTTTTGACTTATATAAAAAGCTGCCGAGCATGGAATGCATTTTTAAATGTGTAGAATTACATAATTCGAGAATTGTATACAGGGTGAGATGAAAAAACTGCAACAAACTTCAGACTGCGGTCATTTCTAAGACACTCGTCCGACAGTGGTAGTGCTAATTATACTGTTTACAAGCGTACAAAAGCATTTTGGTGAGAATTTTCCAGAAATAAAAGTTATTCAAGCGTGATGGCGTGATTTCTTTATATTTGGTTGGAAAACCACAAGTGGCTATCTTAAGAGCAGTCCAGCATTTAAATACGAATAAATCTGTTGTGTCTCGTACCGTGATACTGGTAGCGTAGCCCGAGGTCAAGGAAGTGGACGGAAGAAAACAGCATATCAGCAGAAAAGGTTCGAAAAGTAAAAAAGCGACTTGATCGAAACCTGCGTCGCAGTGGCCGAAAAATGGCTCGTGAGCTGAAAATATCACAATATTCCATTCGGCAAATATTGATAAATGAGCTCGGGGTAATGTCATTGAAATTCCAAAAAGTGCAAGAATTTACACCGCAACAGAAAGAAAATAGACTCAAAAAACCTAAATAGTTGCTTCGCTTGGCCGAAAGTGGTGAACTGTCAAATTTGGGTTTCTCCGATGAGAACACATTCGTTGTCCAGTAGTTTGTAAACAAACAAAATTATCGTGTTTACTTGCCAAAGAGGTTAGCTAAAAATGTGCACCTTCGGTTGGCCAATAAAACTCAAGTGCCGGCCATGGTGATGGTGTGAGCCGCCATAACAGCCGATGGTCGCTCCCGCTCGTATTAATAGCCACGGTCGATTAATGCCGAATATTATGGCGAAAATATTCTGGAGGGTGTAGTAAAGCCTTGGGCACGCAAACATTTTGGCCGCAGACCTTAGACATTCCAACAGTACTCAGCACCATCGTACTCAGCACGCGCCACCCAAGAATGGTTACAAAATGAGGTCCCTCACTTCATTTCCAGCGCAAAATGGCCACCAAAATCTTGTGTCTGGAGTATTTTGGAAAGCAAGGTTGGCACTAAAAATACCAAAGTGTCGATCACCTCAAGCAAGCGCTTCCTCGGGAATGGGCCAAAATACCCCAGAACAACATTCGTGTGACGGTTTCATTGGCCGTTTGAAGGCCATAATTGGTGCCAAAGGTGACTTATTCAAACAAATCTAAACTTATTCTAAAATTTGATGCTATTTCCGACATTTTTGCTTTCATTAAATAAAAATTAAAAACAAAAAATTGTAAAAATTATGGCGTTTGAATTCGTTGCACTTTTTTATCTCACCCTGTATAATTGTATGAAAAGCACTGAATTGTACTATATTCATTTAAATTTTAAGATTCTAACTTCAGCCGTTTCGCTGGGCGTGTTTTTTTTACAGTAAAATGGGGGAGGTAGAACCCATTACAAACTTTAATTTCATAAGTTTCTCTTAGAACATGTGACTTAAATCGACAAAATACCGGAAATTCGGTAAAATCCGAAATCATGCCTACTGCCAACCTTTCATTCCCATTTTCGTTACCAAAAAATATTTTCATGGTTAAAATTTTCATTATCAATTAATTGTATTCTGTTCGGAGAATAGAAGGGCTAAACCAACATAAAATTGTTTCCGAAACCAGAGTAAATACTGTTTGTGAGGTCTAAAATGCTTATTTCCAGGTAAATGCTGATTACACATAGTATTATGGATTATGGTATACTCACAACTCACAACCTTTGGTTTTCTAATGAGAACAAAGAAAGTTATTTTGCTTTAAATTTTTTTAAGGAATAATTCATTATTTTCAACTACTGATAATGCAAAAGGAAATTGTTTTACTGTACCTTTTCATGGACTTTTCGGCTCATAGAGCTCCGAAGTTTTTGCTGGGTTTAATTCTACTCAAAAATAAATGCAATTCTTCCCCAGCCTGCAGCAGCTAGCATGTTTTAAATATGGATTATCCAAAATGCATTTGTATATGTGTAATCCATTAAAAAAAATAATTTATTTGTCACTGTTGATTAAATCTTAATTGCTTATTTAACATTTGTTTCCATTGTGTGGTGCACTGGACATATGGATCATTATGGATGAAACCCCACAAGAAATGTAATTAATTGTTCTTAATTTCCTTGATGGATTCTCTCTCACATACAAACTCACACAGACACTCACATAAATTTGCTGGGAGCTTTTTTATATCCTTCATGCATTGCATTGCACACCAGAAACTCTGAATTTGAAATTACCCTTGGTTGGGTGTTTTTTAATTAAATTGTTAAAACATTTATAAGATAAATTGCAACAACGATTTAAATATGACCATTAAAATGTACACCTCAATTAATAGTGGCTTTATGGATTTTTTGTATTGGTTACGTTGGGAAAAGTTGGTTTTAAATACTGGAGGTTTAGGTTTAACTGTTGGTCTGAGAAAGAATTGAATTATTTCACACATAGCGAATTTTAAATTTCAATGAAGATTAAGGCCGAAAAACATTGCCCTTGCTGACACCAAATTTGAAAGTTAAACGTAAAGTATAATATGCACTTTTTTATATTTATTATGATGCTAAAATAGATAGTGAGGGCTTATGATTTTTTTATGTTTTTATTGAAATAAATTTGAACATAAATCTGTAATCATTATATTTAACAACTCACTTTGTTACTTCTATATTTTCAGGAAAAAAGCCATGGTCTCAATGGAAGGACAATTTTTGGTGCGACAAATTTATGACGATGAAATTACGTACAACTTAATTGGAGCAGCAGTTGAAATTTTAAGTGAGTATTCGAATTTTTTAAATAAGGAACACGTAAGGATATGTATGAGTCGCCAAATTTGTCGTATTTAATACCGGATATAACCGGTCAAATGTGCCAAAAATATCGAAATTTGGACCGATTTTCACCAAATTCAACAGAGTTCGTCCTTGGAGCAATACGTTTCAATATACGTGATCAAAAGAGAATACTACAAACAAATGCAAAAACACTGTAAGACAAAATTAAAATTTTCGATTATTACAGGAAACCCCCGGGATTATTACAGAAGCTAAAATAGGAGAAACGTTTATCGGCAATTTGAATGTATACATCGCAAAGTAGCTTGATTGTAAAAAAACTCCCTTCTTGTACCTTTTTTAAAAAATTTCGGATTCAGATTATTTGGAGAACGGTCATTTTGACTACATACTATCTTGAGCAATATTGCTGATAACAATTCGAAGATTATTTTGATCAAAAATTTTAACCCTCAGCGAATCATCAAAGGGGTATCTTTGGTCCTTTTTTTAAATATGGTTAAAAACTCTCTTAAAATGGAATAGCAGCAAATCAAATATTCGACTATTTGTCTTAGAACACATGAAAAGTCTAAAAGTTACTAAAACAGTAACATTAGAAACACATTTTAGGGTAAAAGCTCTACTTCTAATGGATTGATGAACAATTCTCCTACAAAGCATAATTAAAGAAGGTGTAAAGTTTGTGAAAATATTAGTTAATAGTTTTTACTGCTAATTTAACACGTTTCCATTCCATATACTTAATTTATTCATTCATTCATATTAAAATTTTATTTTACTTTTTTAATTTGAAGTTTCTGAAACAAAACAAAATGACTTCAATTCGGTTAAGGCCTTTATAAAAAGGCACCTAAATATTTTAAGATATGGGGCTAGAATCTTGTTCTATTTTCATTGCAATATCAGAAGAAATTTAATGTTTGGCCTATTTCATATCAATCATTATTTCTCTTTAACCATAACCCGAGTTTTAAACTGAGATCCTTCTTATACCCTCAACCATATGGCTAGAGATGGTATACAGGCTGAGATGAAAAAAGTGCAACCAACTTCAGACTGATGTCATTTCTAAGACACTCACCCGACAGCTGCTTAAATTATTCCAGTGACAGCTCATTATACTGTTTCCAAGCATTTTGGTGAGAACTTTCCAGAAAAAAAGTTATCCGTAATGGAAATCAAGCGTAATAGTGTTATTTCTTTGTATTTGGCTGGAAAACCAAAAGTGGCTATCGTTAAAGCACTCCAGCATTTAAATGTGAATAAATCTTTTGTGTTGAATAAATTTTTTGTTTGAAAACAGCAACATCAGCAGAAATGGTTCGAAAAGTAAAGAAGCGACTTGATCGAATGCACCGGGAATGGGCCAAAATACCGCAGAGCAACATTCGGGCAGCGTGTGACGGCTTTATTGGCCGTTTGAAGGCCATAATTCGTGCCAAAGATGCTGTTATGCTGTTTCCTTTTTTTGTTTTCATTCAATAAAATTAAAGAAACAACTAAGCAAAGGCTATAGTCGTGCGAGGCTGACCATGTGATACCCTACAACACTACAATATGTTCTCATTCGGTACAATGGAAATGTTGGTATTTTTTCACACAAAAGTAGTGGTCCATTCTACTCGCTGTCCTAAACTCTTACTTCATGCGAAATTTCGTGTCCTATTGTTGGTATTTGTGACCTTTATAACGGCTGCAAAATCGGAAGCATTTTTAGTTGCTGGTCTATTTCAACCCCTAAATATATTGCGGGCATCTTTGAAAACAACAGGCTAAGCCCTTCAGAGCCTATCCCTATCCTTTTAAAAAATTTTGTGTGGATCGGACGATAATTGCAATCTGTATATAATAACCCCAACCAGTGTTGTAAGATGAAAAAATATTACAAAATATATACTTCAATATTACAAGTCAATTTGAAAAAAATATCTCAAAATGCTACAGAATCTATATTAACACCATTACTGGAATATTTTTATGCAAATTTTTTGGCTTTTATTCTTTTATGCCAAGAGGGCATTCGGAATTGACAAATTTGTCAAAATCGGTTCAACAATTCTTGAAATATAAGCATTCTAGCTAACATCCTTGTTCTTTTTGTATACACATTGTATATATTTCGCTATATAAATCCGATATTTTTACTGTCGGCATTTACGTAACGGTCAGAATTGACCTTTTCGTCTATATGTGATTTCGCCGGGATTAAAATATTCGCGGTTTAATGGAAAATTTGACTTTTATTTAACACAAATATTATGGTCTATTTCACCCACTATATATTACCCGATGACCATCAAAATTGGAAGGCTTCTGCCCAGCTCTAAGGTCTAGCCCCATACTAACTTCCACGTCGATTGGTCTATAATTGTGACCTGTAAAGCAACTGCAAAATCAGGAAATTTTTCAGTTTTTGGTCCATTTCAACCCCTAAATATTATGCGATCATCTCCAACAGCAATAGGGTTCTATTCTGGCACTAGACCTACCTCCACTTTAAATTTCGTGAAGATCGGGTCATAATTGCGATCTGTAGAGTGATTACAAATTAACATAGACAGACGGACAGACGGACGGACATACATAGCTAGATCGTATGTTGTTGGAATTTTTCACACAGCTATGGTGAATTGCAGGGCTTCCGTCCCGTCTTAAAAATATCCCAATGCAAAATCAGGAAATTTTTTCAGTCTGCAAAAAATGGACTTCTATTCTGATTTTAGCCCCAACTTCTTGCAAAATTTTAAACTTATAATATACCCAAAAAGTAGTGTTTTATGCTATACAAATATGCATAAATTTGGTATGTTTAAAGAATTTTAAACTGATGCAGCGTGATTATTTTGTAGATTTGATGATATGAACCGGGCATATTTGGGCAATAAATTCGTGCAAAACATTTTACATAATGGCGAAGTTGAAGGTTATTGTACGCAACGTCGGATTGAAGGTACCCCTGTTAGACATGAATTTACAAATCTTAGCAAAGTGTCCTTACCATTAGATGTGGGTTGACACAAGTCCCACAATACTACAACCTTGTTAATTGAAAAATATTTGTCGAATGCCGTTGCTGAAAAAATCAAAATACCGAAAATCAGGTGGATACACGTTTTTGAATTAAAGTGAAATAAAGAAATTAAGAATATGATGTTAAGACCTACTCAAAAATAGGGATAATCTATATTTTCGATTAACTGTTTAAATCTATAAAACATTGTTTAAAATTTTATCATATTTCTTACTCTTACAGATATACCCGCAGATGATATACTGGAGTTGTTTGGTAAAACCTTTTTTGAATTTTGTCAGGATTCAGGATATGATAAAATTCTGCAAGTACTCGGTGCAACCCCCAGAGATTTTTTACAGGTAAATTTGTCATTAGGCTATTTAATGTATGAATTCGCCTAATACTTCAACTACACAACACATTATCCAATGCAAATCATCAGGTGTCTGATTGTAATTAAAATCATTTTCATGGTTTCATTCATTATTAGCTATTAGTTTTAATTATTTTCCTCCCATAACATCTGTGGTGATAACTGCGTTGTGGCTTGCCGACAACAATCTCTGGAGATACTCAACACCCAATGGAGTATTTGTGAATAAAAAGACTCAAATGGGTTTTCATTTGATCAATTTCCCACTGCTTTCTACTATTTTTTCTGGAGAGTTATTTTACCAAAGCCATTCACCCACCTCTTCTTACTTACTATAATCAGACAACAACTACTTTTCACATTCGATTTAGTTTCAATTTCAAATGATTTTCATTACATCCTTTCCGTTTTCTTCTTTTCCTTTTTTATTCCATTTTCTTTCTCGTTATGCGCTGAACACCGATGCTGTAAATTTTAACTCAATAATACTCTACTGGCTTCTCTCTTTGGACGCCAACGTCATCCTTGCCTGGGATATGGCTTCTGTGTTGGACTGTATGGCTTGTTGGCTGTTGTTGTTGCTGTTTTCATTCCCAACAAAAAACACAAAACAAACCTACAAAACTGTTGTGTGCTCAACAATTTCTCTGTTATTTGTCCATGTCGTCCTGGTGCTCGTTTGTCATGCCATAATGGAAAAACTTGAATTGAATTGAATTTCTGCTGTTCGCCGTCGCCTGCATTGAATTATGACGACGAATTGTGTGTGACAATACCCCGATGATGTTGCTGCCGCCGCTGCTATACTTGCCATCGCCATCTGTGTATTTTTTATATATTTCTTTTTGGGGAAATGCAACAATCCCAATTGTTTTCGCTGAATACCCCTACCTCTTCATCGATGATTTAATACCTTAACTTTACCAAACAAATAACATCGAATGCCACGTTATTCGGTTCACTGTTATTTTCAATTATTGTCAATAAAACGAACTACGAACACAAAAATAAAAAAAAAAATAAAACAAACTACGACGACACACGATAACTGCATCGAATAAAAATGAAAAAACAAATCTTGCCTTGTATCAGAATCTGGATGCCCTGCACGACCATTTGGGCACATTGTATCCGGGTATGAGAGCTCCTTCGTTTCGTTGCACAGAGAAGGATGGTCAATTACTGCTGCATTACTATTCAGAGCGACCGGGTTTGGAACATATTGTCATTGGCATTGTTAAGGTAAGTGTGTGTGTATATGTAAAGAGTGATCACAAATACAAGGTCGATTATGTTTAGAAAGATATAAGTCACAAATACTATCGAGGTTGATTTAAATTGAAACAAATGTGGTAAACATTGATATGAGTTAAAGACCTCAATCAGTAATACACGAATGTTTGATTAAGCCTAAAAGTTTGTTACACCTCAAAATCTTGGTCCTAGACCCGCTATGATCACCATATCGTGAAGAGCTGGGTCGATCCAGCTGTGTGTGCGTTCGTTTGTCCATATTGAATAGTAATCGCTGGACATGTCAAAATTATTGTCCGATCCCCACTATCATAGACCAAAATTATTTAGGACACCAAACACATACATACACATACCGAATACCGTGGGGGTACCGTTACATGGGGGCTATACGATATCGTGGACCTGTATGGACAATTCTCTGCCGAGGTATAAAGTACCCACAAGGAACTAGTTGTGTGGATTTTCAGACAATTCCGATGAAAAATGTGGGTAAAATCATAAAAATACCGAATACTGTGGGGGTACCGTTATATGGGGGATATACGATATCGTGGACCTGTATGAACAATTCTCTCTCAGGGGGTAAAGTACTCACAAAGAACTACTTGTGTGGATGGATTTTAAGACAATTCCATTGAAAAATGTGCCTAACATCATCAAAATACCGAATATCGGGGGGTACAGTTATATGGGGGATATACGATATCGTGGACCTATATAGACAATTCTTTTTGAGGGGGTAAAATGTCCACAAGGGACTCCTTTTGTGGAATTTCAGACAATTCCATAGAAAAATGTGGCTAAAATCATCAAAATACCGAATACCGTGGGGGTACCGTTACATGGGGGCTATACGATATCGTGGACCTGTATGGACAATTCTCTGCCGCGGTATAAAGTACCCACAAGGAACTCCTCTTGTGGATTTTCAGACAATTCCGTTGAAAAATGTGGGTAAAATCATCAAAATACCAAATATTGGGGGTTACTGTTATATGGGGCCCTGCCATTGACAAAAGTGAGATCTGTGCAAAATTTTAGCTTCCTATCTTAATTCGTTTAGACTGTAGCGTGATTACAACAGACGGACAGACGGACGGACTGGCCTAAATCGTCTTAGAATTTTACGCTAATCAAGAATATATATACTTTGTTGGGTCTAAAATGATTATTTCGATGAGTTACAAACGGAATGACGAACTTAATATACCCTCCATACTTTTTTTGGTGGAGGATATAAAAAGGAATCCTTGTCCAAGAATTGTTGAATATTTTAAATATCGTTTAAAGAATATTTACCCAAGCATCATGGTAGAATAATGCAGGTAAAAGCAAGTGTTGTTGTACAACAACCACATACAGAAATTTTTTTGTACGTAATACAAGTGTCAGAGTTGGTATTGAAAATGAGATATATCGGTCCACATTTTGGTATAGTGTCTATATAACGGTACCTCTCGATATTCGGTATTTTGATGATTGTAGCCACATTTTTGCACAGATTTGTCTGACAATTAGTCTCTGTGGGTCATAATGGGCTCTAGCTCGTGTGGCGAAACATTGCATGTGTAGGTCCACGTTTTTGTGTAGCCCCCATATAACGGTACTTTCCGATATTCGGTATTTTGATGATTTGACGAATTTGTCTAAAAATTCGTATTTGTGGGTCATAATGGGTTCTAGCTCGTACGGCGAAACATTGTACGTATTGGTCCATGTTTTGGTATAACCCCCATATAACTGAACCTCCCTATATTCGATATTATGATGTGTTTTTTCCACATTTTACTACAGATTTGTCTAAAAATTGCTATTTGTAGTTCATATTTGGTTCTAGCCCGGTGGCAGAACATTGAATATTTAGTTCCACGTTGCCTTTCAAATAGAAACCAAACTGAAGAAAGATTCGCGGAAAACAACAGCGCCACCACATTTGATAATATTGGTGGGGTAAATGTCTGTTAGTCTGTCCATCTTAAATTGTAACCACGCAACAGGTCGCAATTATGGCCCGATTCTCACGAAATTTAGCATGGATCAGAATAGAAAATTATTTTTGGAAGAGAGGATCTCAAAACTATGAGGGGTTGAAATGGACCAAAAACAGAAAAATCTTGATTTTGTAGTTTCTCTAAATGTCCAGTGGGAATTGCAAGGACCTAGAGTTTAGAGCTGCGCCATAGCAGAACCAATTTAAATGGTCATCAAACAATATTTAGCCGTTGAAATAGATCATAACTTTTACATAAAAATACGAAATTTTCCTTTAACCGCGAATATTTGAAATTCCAGCGAAATCACAAATACACGAAAAGGTGCTGATATCCAAGATATCGCATATATAGTAAAATATATACATATGTGATTTCATCAAAAAGATTAGCAATTAAATGGATATTTTGGTAATCTCACATAAAAATTATGGTCCATTTTATCCCTCAATGATTTTCTGATAACCATAGAATTTGATGGAATAATACCCTGCCCTAAACTCTAACTTTATGCAATGTTACGTGTTGATTGGCTCATAATTGTGACCTTTAGAGGGATTAAAAAGTAGGACAATTTTCTGTTTTTGGCTTCTATTCTCCCCCTAACCTTAACTCCATGCTAAATTTCAAGAGAATAGAGGACAAACACCCATAGGTATATCGATTCTGTTCGGTGAGTTAGAAAAAAAATAAATGAGACCTTTACTAAGTGCAACATATACTTCGATCATAATAATAATAGCTCGGCAGAAATTTATAAATCGACTTAAGGAAGGATTATATGAGGGTCTATGGCTCGGTCATGTTTTCTTATGCATGTAACAAACAAATACAAAAATACATAGTATCCCGTTCAACAGTGTTGTGTAGGGCATACAATATATTCAGATTCCGAATTAACCTTTATCAAGTAATGAGATTCTTGACCAAAAAATCATTTATATGGGTAAAACCTCTGATATGCCTTCTGTTTATGAAATTCGAAATCGATGGTCTTCATTTTAACAAAATGCCTCCAGAATGTCTTTTATTTTGAGATAGCCTACAGAAGATCTTAAAAATATGTGAAGAATATCATGAAATGTCTTTATGTATGTGTGAAACCTTAAATTAACTTTTGAGTATCTAAGATCATTATAAAACCTCATGAATAGACGAAATTCGGAGTATTTAATAAAGATATATTTGTATAGAATACTTCATGAGGAAGATGTTTCCCGAAGGTGTTCTGTAGAGTTGACCAATGGATACGTGTAGAATACATTACGATTTTTTATGTATAATAGTATGAAGCATTTTACTAGTGGAACGAATAATCTTAATATTCTCAGACAAATTAAACTCTCAACCGGTTATTGTGATCACTGCCTATAAAACACTACCACATTTTCCACTTTCATTTGAAACTCTTGTCAAACTAAAAATCAATATTATTTTCTCTATTTATTACATACATTTTTTCTCAATCTCCTCTGTTGCCGCTGCTGCTGTAGGCTGTGGCCTCAAAGCTGCATGGCGTTGATGTGGAAATCGACATTGTTAAGCGAAAAGGTGATCCAGTGGAAGAAGATGAGAAGGATGATGTTTTTGCACAGCAATTACAACAGCATCAACAATCAAACGCTTCCGTTTCGACAACATTTTCAAATGAGGAAAATAATAATCGCAACAACAACAATCTGAACAATAACAACGATGGATCCACAGATAATTTCATAAATAACAGAAGGCCAGATGGTAAGTATTACAGAGATCGATATGTTCTCAAATTGAACGGTAAGGCTATGTAGAAATGCAATAAGTGACACGAATCGTGTTAATTGAAAGGTCATGAAAAGTAAAATTGTGGTTGGAATTGGAATTGTTGGAACTGTGATAAGCATTCTTTATTAATAAGTAGCTGTTGTTGATGGAAATATTTATTCCCTTCACAAGGCTATGAAGTGTATATAACCTTAATCATTCCGCTTATAATTAAAGGTGAAAACACGTTTCACCTTACAAACTATACATATATTGGATCAACGAGAACTTCTAAGTAAATTTATCGATGCATGTCCGTCCTGTGTCTCTGACTGTTGCCAACACGCTATCATTCGAACTAATTGAGATAGACGCCTACAATTATACACAGCATACAATTTTATCGGTAGACATATAGCGCTCCTAAATCGTCTATGTCGGTCTATATATTCGATTGGCCACCATATATCAGTACCTCTCAATATTCGCTATTTTTACTATTTAAGCTTTATTGTGTAAAATTCGGTGTTCAAGTTCACGGTTTGGTGTAACAAAATGAGCTGAAACCCTTGTGACCAATAATAGTCTACGTAGGTCAAATATAAGGGTACCTCCACGTTACAGGTCACAATTATGGCCTGCTCCTCACGAAATTTAGTATGGAGGTGGGGTTAGGGTCGGAGTAGAAGCCTATTATTTCTGAAGATGGTCGCGAAATTTTTAGGGGTCGAAATGGACCAACAAGAGAACAATTCTAACTTTGCAGTTACTGTACAGACCAATCGACACTGCATTTTGCATGGGGTTTGAATTTAGAAGAGGACAGAAGCCTAGCTTTTTGCATGGCCATAGGCTTATATTAAGGGGAAAAATGAGCCACAACGTTTGTGTGAAAAATACTAACAATTCCAACGAAATTCTGAAGATAACTTCCAGGTGAAATCACACATACCGGAAAATCGCACTTCTAACTTTTTCTTTGATGCTGATTTCGTTGACGAATATAGCCAAACAGAGGAGACATGATCTGCGCAGATGAATCTTAATTTTAAAACATTGATATACCCTCAGCCATATGGCTACAGAGGGTATATACAATTTGTTAATGCCAAAAGTTGCGGCATTGAAATAACAGTTTAAGACCCTAGGTATCTTTGGACCAAGTTTATTTCAGGAAAGTTGGAGTCCATCTCGGTGTGTCGGTCCGTCTGTCTGGATGGTTGGTGCGCACGATAACTCTTGTAGAACGTATCTGATTTGATCCAAACTTCGTACTATTATTATAAAACTTAGATTAATATCGGTCCGTTCCTCCTTTTACCTAATCCACAAAATTTGCAAACAACATAATTTACTCCATAGAAAGAGAAATTATAGAGTCCTGCGCAGATGTTGCCTTTAGCTTTTGACCAATATTTAGGCACACCGTCATGCAGTTAGGTATTCAAAACAATTTCACACGAAAATTGTGATAAATTTTACAGCTAAATATAATCCAATGGTCAGCCAAAATACTTGACTTCTTCCTTGCCTTAATTCTCTTCTCATGCAAAATTCGGTGTCGATTGGTTCATAATTGTGGCCTATGGAGAGACTGCGAAATCAGGAAAATTTTTGCTCCATTTGAACCACTAAATGTACATCTTCAATAGGCTTTAATCTTGATCCTATTCCTACCCAAAGCAAAATTTCGTGAGTATCGGACTATAATTGCGACCTGTATATCTTACCCTTAACGCATAGTGTTGCGGGGTGTAGAAAAACTTTAGAAGATGTACAATTCAAAATTTAAAATCAAATTTTGGTGGCCATTGTGCGCTGGAAATTAAGCGAGGAAGCTCATTTTGTACTGGGTTCGATGGTGCTGAGTCCTGTTGCAATGTCCAAGGTCTGAGGCCAAAATGTTTTTGAATGCCCAAGGTTTAATACACCCTCCAGAATATTTTCGCAATAATATTCGGCATTTATTCTGATGCCACGGTCAATTAATACGAGCGGGGAGCGACCATCGGCTGTTATGGCAGCAAACCATCACCATGGCCGGCGCTTGAGCTCTAGCCCCTTCTGCCCAACCGAAGGGGCACATTTTCAGCAAGAACTACGGTGTAAGTTCAGAAATAAAGAAAATAGACTCAAAAGAGCTAAAGAGTTGCTACGCTTGGCCGAAAGTGGTGAACTGCCGAATATGGTTTTCTCCGATGCGAACACATTCGTAGTCGAGCAGTTTGTAAACAAACAAAATGATCGTGTTTACTTACAAAAGAGGTCAGCTTAAAATGTGCCTATTCGGTTCGCCACCAGAACTCAAGCGGCGGCCATGGTGGTGGTGCGGTCCGCCATAACAGCCGATGGATGTTCTCCGCTCATATTAATCGACTGTGGCATCAGAATAAATGCCGAATATTATTGCGAAAATATTTTGGAGGGTGCATTAAAGCATTGGGCACGCAAACATGTCGATCACCTCAAGCAAGCGCTTCGCCGGAATGGGCCAAAAAAGCGCAGAGCAACATTGGGGTAGCGTGTGACCGTTTCATTGGCCGTTTGAAGGCCATAGTTCGGACCAAATGTGACCAATTCGACCAAATCTAAACTTATTCTAAAATTTGATGCTATTTCCGACATTTTTGCTTTCATTAAATAAAAATTAAAAAAAAATTGTAAAAATTATGGCGTTTTACTTTGTTGCAATTTTTTGATCTCACCCTGTACACTCCATAGTATTGTACAGGGTATATAATTAATAACATATCACTTTGAATGTGTTATATACATTAGAATCCTGATTTGTTTCCTTTTCTTATATCCATAAAATGGAAACCCTTTTAAAGTAGCTATTTTCCGGAAATGGCTAGCTAGCTCCTGTTATATATTGATTAAATTCAAAACATCTGCTAATATTAGTTGGGTAGTTCGAAAAACTATTTCTGTGCATCCCCAACTATTAGAACCCATCCCACGTAGTTTGATAATGCGTTCATCCTCTTTAATATTCTGTAAATAGGCCCGAATTCAATCAAATGATGCCTTTGAAAGACGGAATATCTTGGGGGCAAAAAAAAAATACGAATACAAATTTAAGTTTGCTTCGATTAGAATTTCATTCAATGTCATAGACATTGAAAAAAAAAAACGAGCAAATTTCCATTACACATTCTGCTCATTCTCTGTTTCCTTCCATATTGTTACAGAACAACAATGTCCCTTTACTAGAAATAAATCGAATTCCGCCTCATCAATGGCAGGCACAAATGCCGATAGCTTTGACAGTGACGACAAGGAACAGAAATGTCTGCGGCTGCTCAAGAATAAAAGCGATGACATTGAACGTTATGACCATGTCCAATTTCTAATACGTGAAACATCGGCCAATAATAAATCGGATAATGAGGCATCCAGTTCGAAGGATGAGGCGGGCAAAGAGCCACCAGATGACACAGACTTCTTGTGTGATGGTAAGAATAAATTGAGGCTTTGGACGTTTGGCAGGATATTTTCAAAGGTCATTTTTCATTCTTTCCTTGCAGCTCCCCTTATATCGCCCGCAACATTTTGCAAAGTATTTCCATTTCATCTGATATTCGATCGTCAAATGAAAATTGTCCAGGCTGGTAAATCCGTGTCAAGAGTCATACCAAGGTAAGTAGTGGGAGTACATTGAAAATTTCAATTGCGTTGAGAAGGACATTAAAGAGATGCAGATATGCCACGTAAATTGGTAAAAACTTTTCCTTCCCCCATCCACCACTACAGATGTTGTCCTCATTGTTTGTTTTATCTTTCATTTTTTGTCTTTAATTCTTTAGCTGAAAAAATTGATTGATTGTTTGTTGTTTTTTTTTGCGTATCCTCTTTTCCATCGCATTTTAAACCTTTTGAGGTATGTGCGAGCTGTCTCTGAAATGTCCTTTACAAGTGCATCGATATGCCATTTATACCTTTTGTTAAGTTATTCGAAATTGATGTCTTTGTTTGTTGGTTGTTTGGTATTCGAAAAATTTTCATCTTGAATTTATGTTCATTTTTCCTTCCTTTTCTCGTTTTTCTTGTCGTTGCTGTACTCTAGAGTGGCCGAAGAAAACTGTTCGTTATTGGAAGTACTTGAAGCTATACGTCCTCATTTACAGCTGACATTTGAAAATGTATTGGCCCACATTAATACCATCTATGTCCTGCAGACACGTCAAGGTGCAATGGGTAAACATGAACGCTATCTGCGACTGAAGGTAAGTATCGCGGAGAGATGCATGTTGTTATTATTATAGCCATAAAGTGAAATTGGATTTGAAGGTGAATTTATTAGAATAAGTTTGTAAGTTCAGCAAGAGTATTATTTCGGGATATTCAATGTGGAATAGGAAGAAAAAAACAAGTAAAAATGCATTAAGTTCGGTCGGGCCGCACTTTGAATACCTCTACTATTTAGCACGAATTTGGAAAATTTCAAAAAGGTAACATTCTCCGTTACATTAGGGCCTATACGACGTACACCTACATAGGCATTGTATATATTCAAATTCGAAACTTGAAATAAACGGTGAATAATCATCAATCAAATCATCAAAATATCGTACATAGGGAGGTACCGTTATATTGGAGCTATACGAAGACCTGGACCTGCAAAGACAATTTTCTGTCACAGCCTGTAGCTTCCATTACCAACTTCAAATACGACATCTCAAATAATTTCGGTGAGTATTGTACCTAAAATCGTCAAAATACCGAATATAGGGAGGTATCGTTATATGGGGGCTATACGAAGACGTGGACCTGCACAGACAATTTTCTGTCTCAGGCTCTAGTATCAATTTCGAACTTCAAATGCCAAATTTGAAACAAATTCACCGGAATTGTATCGCTAAAATCATCAAAATACCGAATATCGGGAGGTATCGTTATATGGGGGCTATATGATAACGTGGACCTGGCCCATTTACGAACTTAACCTGCCTACTGGCAAAATAAACATTTGTGCAAATTTTTAGCCTTCTATCTCAATTCGTTCGAAAGATAGCGTGATTACAATAGACAGACAGATGGACATGGCTATCGTTATATGGGGGCTATATGATAACGTGGACCTGGCCCATTTACGAACTTAACCTGCCTACTGGCAAAATAAACATTTGTGCAAATTTTTAGCCTTCTATCTCAATTCGTTCGAAAGATAGCGTGATTACAATAGACAGACAGATGGACATGGCTAAATCTTCTTAGAATTTTACGCAGATCATGAATATATATATATACTTTGTTGGGTCTGACATGAGTATTTCGAGGAGTTACAAACGGAATGACAAATTTAATATACCCTCCATAGTATGGTGGAGGGTATAAAAATAATGGGCAACATCTTTGGAAACCTTAATAAGTTAAATATTAAGCTAATGGAGTCGGCGAAACCATACTTTGCTTGTAAAAACTCAATATAAATTTGGTTACCAACACATTATTTTATGAGGTAATATCTCACGAAAACTTCTATTTCCTGGTCACTAAGCATTGCAAAAAAGCATATATTCATTATTCATTTTAAATAATCAGAACTCGTGTGAAATTAGAAATAACAGATTTATTTTTCTTCAATTTATCGCCAAAATAAAAACAAATAACTTTATTAGAGGGACTATTTTGAAAAAAATTCCAAAAGGTATTAATCGAGATCTCGTTTTCTTAGATCATGGATAAATCATAATCAATTGTTCAAATATACAAAATTAGCAAAAATTGTTTTTCTGCATAAATGAGTAAGAATTTTGCATTATTCTGTTTTGTGATTTCTTGAATAAAAATATTGTTGAAATCGTGTGAAATTTCTGTGATAATTTCAAAGGGTTAATATACATGATTGATTTAGAAAAATCTATTTTTCGATTTTTTTGTCGCTCCAGGCATGACATATAGTTTCCTCGTTTATCTGTTGCTATGAATTATTACTCTAGAAGGATATTACGAGTCTTGACAAAAATTTGCACATCTTGATATAACAGTCGAATCATTAAAGAAACAAGTTAAAAAGTATCAATCGGTTCTGCCGACAAACTAATACCCTCAGCCATTGTTCGATTATTTAAACATATATTGGCTTCAGTTATGATTATTTTGTTGACCCTCTATGGAGTGGATTCTGAGGGAATGGGCCAATATTACCAGTTACCAGATATAGTCGACCGAAGTATTCCATTTTCCTGCTTCATCTAATACATATACAAATATTGGTATGGACAAAATTACAAGAAAATCGAAAATCCAATTTATGGGAAATCATAAATTCCATATTCATCTCTGGTTTCTTGTTGAGAGAAATATTTAGATAAAGCAATTTGTAAAGAATCGCTGGATTGTTTCGCAAGTTATGACAGAAAAAAGTATTGAAAATGTGACCCTTTGTGGGTGAGGTACCAGAAGGGGTTCACAGAACAGCAAAAGAATCTTTATAACAGATCTTGTGTTGATGGAAATATTAAGATGTACCAAGTCTGGAATGGAATCGGATGTTGATTTCCCTTTTTATGAGCTTCATGGATATTCACAATTTTTAACCTTTGTGGGGGGAGGTACCCGATGGAGTGGACCGATATATCCCATCTTCACAACAGATATTGTCTTAGTAGAAATATGTAATGGCATGTTTGAAATATGAAGAGAATCTGATGCTTATTTCGAGTTTTATGACATTCATAGATATTCAAAATGTTGACCCTTTGTAGGGCAGGTACCAGAAGGAATGGTCCGATCTCTACCGTTTTTATAACAGATCCTGTGTTAATGGAAATATTGAGATGTGCTAAGTCTAAATGGAATCGGAAGTTAATTTTGCATTTTATGAGCTTAATGGATATTCAAAATTTCGACCTTTTTTTGGGGGAGGTACCAGAAGGAGTGGACCGATATATTCCATCTTAACACCAGATCTTGAGTTTATAAATATATTGGGATGTGCGAAATTTGAAGACAATCGGACTCTTACGTCATATTTTATAAGAGTTGTAATTATTCAAAATTTTGACCCTTTGTGGCGGAGGTACCGATATTGGCCATTTTCGTGGACCGATATTGGCCATTTTCGCACTTGACATAAAACTGACGCAAATATTAAGATTTGCAAAGTTAGAGCAAATTCGGATTATGGTTACGCTTTCTGTGCAGAAAATATGTTTTTTGAAAGTTTCGATCTTTTGTGGGAAAGGTACCAAAATGAGTTTACCGATATTGCCCATCTCTGGACTCGAACTTAGTTTGACAAAAATATTACGATGTACCAAGTTTGGACCAAATCGGATAATCCACTCGAGAGTTATCGTGCGCACCAGCCAGCCGGACAGACGGACGGACGTACATCGCTAGATCGACTTCAAATGTCCTGAAACGGATTTGGTCCAAAGATACCTAGGTTCTAAAACCGTTATTTCGACTAGGCACGTTTTGACCGTATCAAATGATATATACCCTCTCTAGCCATGTGGCTGAGGGTATAAAAATGTACAAGTTGAACATTTTGTGTGGCAAAGGGTCAAAATTTTCCGTCTTCTCTAAAATTCCACAAGTTCTTTATATCAGCCCACACTTTCTGATAGGAAAACTCGTAATAAAATAGTATGACCCAGTTTTGTCTACAAATATATGTACCCTCGGTCCATAGCCACTGTGTGTAGGATTTATATAAGATTACGATTCTAAAAATATTTGTAGTTTTTGTGGCTTATGGAGAGGAAGAAAGAAATTGACCAACACATTGTACTTATTTACAACGATTAGCCACAGTGTCATAACTCAAAACTGAAAGTTGATATCGAACAGGGTGAACCGATGCAGTTTTTCATCGAAAATGACATATTATTGACAAATGTATTATGTATTGTAAGATATATGCTATAATAGCAATAAATCGACAACAATATCCCCGTAGGCTATGAAGGTAGCTAAAAACTGAAGTCTCGTGTATCAAAGTTTTGAAGTTTGGCATCGCAAATTAACCTAAATAGATGTTTCACATATTTTTGAAATCATATGATTAAATCCCTTGGAATCCTTGGATTGGAGGTATATAATATCTTCGACAATTTTCAAAACAAGAGTTACTCAAATAGAAAATGTTAACCCTCTTGCGAGTCATGGGGTAAAAAGTCCCTTTGAATAAGATCGTAGCAAGACAACTTATTCTGCAAAATTATTTGTCGAATTTTACAAGAGGTCAGACATCAAATATCTAAATCTTACCTACATGCTCAATATTACTTGGCTGTACATCTGACGAAAGACCAAATCATATACTTCCTTTTAGGATTCGTGTTTTTTTAAGTGTTGACAATTTTTGTGGTTGATATCACTTTCTCACCGCGGAAATTGCATCCCTCGGGAAGAAATGATCCATGCCCGTGGTAGTTTTAAGTGTGACTAAATAGCGTATACAGCGTTACTTCTAATAAAAATTCAAAAAAATCTGGTCGTAGGACTCAGCTTTGTTCTTAACTCAAACCCCACAAAAATTCTACACCTATTGGTATATAATTGTGAACATTTCATGGGTATCGGAAAACTGCGATCTATAGAGTCATTAAATTTAAAATTAAATTCGATATTAAAGGTTACGAAAAGTTCTAAGTTGGTACTAAACTTACAAGACGATTCCATTTGGTATTATGTGAACATATAGAGCTAAAAACTTTAAATTTGACATGAGAATCAGAAGTCTGGATAAGTCGGATACATAAGGGTTTCGTAAATGTGTACTATAATTGTACTATATTTCGTATTGGGTGAAGGGATAAAGTAAAATTGTGGTAGCGGCTAAACTGGAGAGTAAAACCCCTCTCACAATTTAGGCTAAGGATTAGAAATAATTTTAATTCAGAATCTAAGGTTCACATATCCTTGAAAAAATGAACCAGATTCATATCCTTTTTTTCATTCCACATGTCTTGCTAAAGATTATATATATATATTTTTTTTTTTTTTGATTTACTTTACTAACCACCCAATATTTTAATTCACAGAGCTCTGCTGGTTTTCAGCAACGCAAAAAGTATTTCAATCTTACTCTTTATTTTTATTGAGAGCAGAAAAAATAAAAATGCACACAAGTTTATTACTTAACGAAAATTTAAAAATAATATTTTTTATTATTTTAGGTCAATGATAAGCATTTAAGTAAAGTACTATATATTGATATCTCGGACATCCCCATCTAAGAAGAAAAACAACAATTTATATTATTTTTCAATTA